TTCAGCAGGTTGTGTCCTCCAGAGAAAGAAGAGGAACTGTTATTCCCCCATCTTTGTGCAGACACTGAGCAAGTAGCATCTTTCTGTAACTCCCCTCCATGTCAAAGCTCAATAGTGAAAGTATCACCTTCTAACAAACGCTGATCAGAAGGAAGGGTTTCAAATCAGTAAAAGTACATTTAATAGCCTTAGTAAACCACTAAATCACAGAAAAATGCTACCATAATTCTTTGACTGTAGCACTTTCTGGCAGTAATAGATATCCTTAGTCACCCTCCTGCTAACTCCAGACTCTTGCTTTCAAATGCTGATCATCAGCCTCTTCCCTGCAAACCAGCCACTTCCCCCAGTTACTTGTCCCCCATGTTCTTGGGAGCATTAGGCCATTCCTCATGCTGCCCTCTGCAAACGGGAATACTACTGCATCAGTTTGTGCCCCCTGCTCCCCCCCCCAACTACTTTACTAGTCAAATCCTTCTGTTTACTCATGAAATCGTGCAAGCACACTGAGGTCTCGGGGGAAGTGGACCCCAAAATTCCCCTGAAGAGACACCACAACCCTGCAGCTGGTCAGGGATTTCTCAGCCGTGCGAGAACTGGTGGAGCGTGCGCATGTATGCATGTACAGGAAAGGAGAAATTGGGAAGAAAGGCACGAACCATGAAGTTGAGGGTGTCACAAGGCACATCTGAGATGTAGACAGCAGAAAACACCCTGCCCTCTAGTTATTAACCTCGAGCTTTAAAAGCAAAAGGCTGTTTCTTGCTGGGTTAGTCAGTGCAGAGAGTTTGCTGTGCTGTTCGCGTTGCAGCTCAAGCCAGATGAAAAGGTGACAGTTCTCGGGGTGTTTTAGCAAGTGAACCCATTTTAAGACAGACTGTGCCCTCTGCGCGGCCGGGCAGTGCAGGACAGGGACGGGACACTAGATGGCACCGACGACTTGCTGGTGAGCAAAGCTGCTGCAAACCCCCAGCAGTTTTGCATCCATCTGGAAGAGAATAAATTGTTTTTTCTCCAGCATAGCTTAAGGCGACCAACATTAGTGATGCTTTCTGGTTAGTAGCCGGTCAGTAAACAACTCCAGCTGCAAACTTTTCGTGCCCAGCTGTGGCTTTCCTTGATGGTGCTTTGGCTTCCAGCACAGCAGCAGGGGGTTGCCTCAAAGCATCTTAGAAAAAAAAATCGGTGCAACACTTGACAGGCTTGTTCCCGTTAAGAACAGCCACCTGTCTTAAGCTAAACTGAGACTGGATTTAAACTCACAGCAAACCACTGTCCAGCTCAAATCAAAGCATTCCCATAGCAGGCCAACATGATTTAATTAAACTGCCTTTGCCAAAAATGTTAAACTACTAGAATGTTTCCGTGGGGCCAGGTCTGCCCTAACCCCACACAGGCTTCAGCCTGTGTGACTCCTGAAAGCCAAATGCTGAGCTGCAGTGTGACTCTCTAGAACCCTCCACAAGCAGACACAGCAAAATTCCTGCCTCCAAAAAAGCTTGCCAGCTCTCCAGTGTGATGGACACCCTGGAAGTCACGGGGACAATCATCCTAGCAAGCAAACGCACAGAGCTGACAGGGGCAAAGGCAGCAGACAGGACCAGTGGGTTTGGAAAAGGAAAGCCAACCCTCAACAGGCACAGAGTGGAAAAGCAGCAACGAGAACACGAGCAGAAGAGTGAAAGGGTGGCAAACATCTACAGATCCAGAGTGTACACCTGGCAGGAAAAGCCTGAATGTGATGGAGACGAACTAAAATCCAATGAGGAGGAGAAAAGAAGGATTGAGCCTACTCTGAGAGCTGCTGGGCCACTTTGCTGGGCCGGGGTAGGTTCTCCACCAGCTGAGAGGGGCTTTTTGATCAGGACTCCCTAGAAGCACAGGTGCCTGAGTCATTTCCCCTCCACAGGCAGGGCTGGTAGCAGTCGCACTAGGACAATAACCTATTCCCTGTCTTTTAGTAAAGGAGAATCAACTATTCCCAGTTACTTCCCAATTTCAACTCCTGTTTTCCCACCTTCTTCCAGCACACGCTGCCTTTCCTCCAGACCTCCCTCTCCGTAGGGACAGTGGCCAAGACAGCTGCTCCCACAGGTCTGCAGTTTAGAGCAAACGCTTATTGTCGGTGGTAACTGCTTAGGAGGAACTTCTCGGTTCCTCAACCCGGCTGTCTCAGGACATCCCACCCTCAGTCCGCTGCCAAGTGGCCACTGGCTAAGGGGATGCTGCCAAGCGCTCTGCCCACAGGGGTTGGTCTTGGTGGCAGTTTAACCACCGCCCTTTTATTTGACACACAAATGCACCAGTAACCCCACTGCCAGCCTTGGAAGTATGATGTAGCACTGCTCTAGTATCTGCAA